TTTTGTCGTATTTGAATGTCAAAATTATATGAATCTGTGGAAACTTACTCGTCCTCACAATCGGTTCAAATTGAATTGAGGCCAATAATAAATTATCATTTTAATTTTACTCAAAAATGAGCACTTGCATTTGATGTTGGCAGTACAAAAAATTATAGTTAATTAAAACAGTTTTACTCAAAAGCTATTCGAGACCAGTTAAAGGGCAGTCGGAACATTCAGAATTTTGCCCTGATATACAACCAATCTTATTGGGTTTGTGCCAATTGACTAAAACAATGCTAGCTGAGGCTATTTTGGGTAACTTGACGGTTAAACAAGCGTTCAAATATTCTGATACTGAGCTCTATACATGGTGATTTTCAGTTGCAGTTATTGAAAATATATCTAATGACGCGCAAAAAAAGTCGACGCGAAATTAAAGTGCAGGAAGTAGATTTGAGAAGTAGATGTGAAGTTCACATTGTTGAAAAGCTAAAATAAAAAAGCAGCTATCCAAAACATTAATTATATTAAAACTAAATCTTAACTAAATTTAAATCTTACTTAGGAAAAACTTCAAACTTCTTTCATTCATTTATCATCAACTTGCGACAAATTTTTTTGCAACAAAAAAAATATTAGATCCTTAAATGTTAGTACTGCTAGTAATACTTTAATTAGGCTCAGTTTTTTCTTCAGAACTGTATAGAACTTGACATTTTATAGGGGGCATCAAAATCAAACTAATAAACTTTTCAGTTTTTTTTAAATACTAAAATTATAAAACGTGAAAAAGTATCACGATAAACTCAAAAAGTATAAAGTACTAAAAGGTATAGAAACATTAGATACAAAAACCGGATGAAAACTTCCAATTTTTTCAAAAATTTAGTGCCCATAGTGCCAATTTTTGGTAAATTAGTTAAAAAAAGAAACTTGGCAGAAAAAATGAAGTAATTTCAGCAAAATGATTGACGCCCCCCCCCCTCCTCAGGGATTCGACCGCCTGCCGACCCAAAGGGTCCCCCTTTGGTACTTTTTAAGAAAACTATTTTTGGCCGACCGACCCTAAAATTTTTCTAGAGGCGCCTTTGGCGCCAATATATACTAACTTTGAGGGGGAGCGCGCGCCAAAAAAAACGCAATTTTTTTTGTCATAATTTTCCAAAAAAAGCCCAAAAAAGCGCATTTAATAATTAATCGACTCCTTCTCAATTTTTGTAGAATCTAACCACGACTAAAATCTTCAATACAATACCTCAATTAGATCTCTACCAACTTTTTTTGCAGTGGTCTAAGCTGGCTGGAAAAACTAACCGTTCTGAATTCATAGATTCTTTTCACTCTTCGAGTGGTCGTAACAACAAGAGTAGTTTTGATTAGAGCATGCATAAACACGAAGGACTTGGAAAAAATTAGAAACGTTTAATGTTTCTTATATTTGTTAAACAATCGGTAGATACAAAATAAACGAAACTGATATGATATAATTGGGCTAACAAAAAAACAAATCTACGAAATCTCAGTTTTAATTCAAAATGAAACGTGCTCATAGATCGGATTTTTTCATTCAAGAACATAAAGTTTATTTCAGATTAACTTTTCTAATGTCTTCTGTAAAATGGCGTTGCGGCTGTAAAGAAAAGTTTCAAACCATTTTTTGAGCTTTTTGCAAACATTTTGTCCAGCGCCTTGTTCAATCTTTGCTTGTCACAAAACAATTTGGCAGCGTTAGCACCTAGAATAAATCAAGAGCCAATTTTAGTAATTGATTCTATACCAAAAAGATCGGGGAAATTTTAACACGCCCATCAATGAGGTTCCATGGAGGATAACCAATTATAATGTATTTCCATGGTCTGTCTCCATAAAGCTCAAAAATAATCGATTATAAAGTGTTAAAAATCGTTTATAAAACAAACAAGACTGCTCGTATCAGGGCAAAGCCCTGAATGTTCCGACTGCCTTAAGGGAATATTTGTGCTCATGGTGGATTTTTTTTCTTCAGACAAATTTCGACTTTTTAACTAGCCATTTTTGACGGCATTTTTAAATATCAATCGAAATGTATTGTTGTTTTGAGCTTAAATTTGAAAAAATATTCTACCTGTGATTATTTTTCGTAAAGTTATGGGGGTTTAAAGATTGCCATTTTGGCCATTTTGACCAATTTGGGACAATTAACGCGCGATATAATTCACGCTATTAACGCTAAAGCGGAGATTAAATCCGTCTTATAAATCGTTCCAAATTGGTTGAACGGAGCTTATTTTCCATAATTGATTTGTTACAAGGAGCGATATCTACTGTTTTGTACTTTATATGGCATGGCGTGTGGGGGGATGATTTTCCTAGAAAAAAGTTCAATTTTTAGAGAAAAAGTTTTCGTTCTTTTTTTTTGTTTATGATATTACTGCTCCACAAACCTTAAAGGCGGTCGGAACATTCAGGGCTTCGCCTTGATACGAGCATTCTTTTTCTATTTGTTCACGCTCCCTCTAAATACTTCACACTAACTCCAACCATTCTTACTTACTTCTTCTACCGCCACCTCAGCACTTACCCCTTACTAATACTTACCGATACTTACCGTATAAGTGCGTGAAAAATACCGTACACGTAAGCTTCTTTAACAACCCCCTTATCACCCTACAAATTTTTACGCACCCAAAAAAAGCTTAAGGGAGTGTCAAGTAGGTGTGGGTGAGGGGAGTCTTGTGTGTTGGGTTTATGGTAGGTGAGGGTTAATTGGGGGTGAGGGTAAGCGGGTTGGCATAAGTGGGGGTGGAGATAGGCGTGCGGATAACGGTGGGGGATGGGTGTAAACTCTTGGGTATTAGAAAAACAGGGTATAATATAATGTGTGAGGGATATGGTTTTGCAAAATCCAAATAAATGTGAGTAGGTTTGGAAATACAAAAAAACGCAAATTTTGCAGAAACTTTGGAAAAAATTAATGGAGATTATAATCCACTAAAATCCTATCATCATCCACTTCAATGGACTTTAAATGAATTATATTCGATTTAATTTCTCTAAAAATGTTGGATTATAATGGATTATAATCGATTGAATGGTCCCAAGGTATAATTAAAAATGATACTATTTTACTTTTAAAGAACTCTAACTAGCCGATGATTTTTTTTGGTTTGTTAGCTTACATTTTTATCGAAGATAAGAAAAAGTATTTTTTACAGGGGCGGGTTTAGGGGGAATTTGGGGAGGGGAGAGGCGGAAATTCCCTCCTCCTCTGGGTTTCGACCCCCTGCCGACTCAAAAGTCCCCCTGTGTACTATTTAGAGATATCCATTTTTGGCTGACTGACCTTTTCTCTAAACTATATACTAATATATAATAATACGCCAATATATACTATTTTTAAGGGGGAAGCGCGCGCCGAAAAACCCAATTTTTTGGTCCAAAAATTGTCTAAAAACGCCTTTTTTGGCCTGTATTTTCAAAACTTTGCCTGCGGCGCAGAAAATTTGGCCAATTTAGGGTCTCTTTACTGCTTTGGGAGAGCTCGAAAAACCAATTTGGTTGACCTAAAAAATGCTCGAGAAAAATTTCGAAAGTTTTTAAAAATCCGCCCCTCCCCCCTCAAGAAAATCCTAGATCCTCCCATATATACATACAGGGGCGGATCTAGGATTTTCTTGTATGAAGCGGATTTTCAAAAATTTTCGAAATTTTTGTCGACCTTGTTTTTAGGTCGAACAAACTATTCAAATATTTTTGAGAGTAACAAAAATCGTTTAAAATTTGTGTCATAGTTTTGTCGGCATATTGAAGATAATTCACCAGCACAGAAATTTTGCATCGTTTCTTCTTTTTCTAATAACTGCTTCTTGAAATCTTATTCACCATACAGACATTATTTTGCTTGTAATCTTCAAACTAAATTTCTCAACGTTTCAGATTTGTGTTCAACCGCCCCGATAACCCGACGGATTTTCCCGTGAATATCGGTCAGACGCAGTGCAGCTGGGCAGCCAGGAACTTCTGCTGCGACACTGACTGGTGTTTCGAGCCAGAGGTTTTCGACACAAACCCTACCTTCATTTTCAACTCCCAGTGTGTCAATATTTTGCGAAGGGAGAACGCGCAAGCCTGGGAAAATATGGATTTCTGTCTGTTCCCAGCACGTAAGATATTTATTCAATTTGGCCTCTAGGTTAATTAGTTTAGTGTAGTTTGAGAATTGTTTTTTAGTTTTGAAGCTATTCTGAATCATAGGTTAAATTTAAAGCTATCTTACATTTTGAAGATATAATGATGTGTCAGATTAACTCATATTTTGACAATATTTGATATCACAAAAGACCTGACAATTTGAAGACGACCTTGCAAAAGTTACCAAAAAATATGGATAAAGACTACTTTTTGATGAAGACATCTACACCAGTTTTGACAAGAAATGGCTTGCAATCGGTTTTATACATATAATGTAGCAGATATCTAAAAATATTGATACGAATTGATTTAAAACAGGCTAAGTTTGATACAAAAATGTGCCAAAAATCAATTTCCATTGATTCTAAGTCTATTTAATTCTTTGTTTTTGTTTTCATTTTCCTACGTATTTAGTAACAAAAAAAATCGATTTAAATCGACTTGAATCGATTTTTAACCAGTTTTTGTGAACTAAATTTATACAGATTGTATACAGATTCAATCTCAAGTTTGTCAGTGCGGTCAATCGCTTAAGTGGTAGTCGCCGTTTGGCTACTATTCTTTTTAAGCAACATTGGCTAGTCGAAAGTTTTTTTTTCTGAAATTTTTGACTCAGGCTATCCAATTTTAAAATCTTGCAAGATTAACATAAAATTGTTACCTTCTAGATTAGAGGTAATTGTGACCAACCAAAGAAAAATTAGATATTTCACTAGAAAACTCTATTGGTCTTATTTAGATAGTAGAGATTCTTTAGTAGATACCTAGAGAGAGGGGGTTTTGTTATGTAAGTTGGTCTTCAATGTTGAAAACGTTTTGGCGACTGTCACTATTTGTTTCAGCTACTCATTTCGTCCAAGATTCTATGTACGCTGGCGAGAGGGGGGAGATCCACTTTCAAGTCCATCCAGATGTTACGAATTTCACCTCTATCAACATGGAACTCTACAGTGCCTCCAGTTCTACCACCCCCATCAGGGCGGGGGATGTTTGTACCCCCTCGGTTGCTTTTGTGGGGGGCGCCAACTACTTCTGTACTGTTCATAACTTGAGGCCGAATACGGTGTACTATGTGAAGCTTCAAGGGTACAACTCGGCTCTGGACAATTTGGCAGATGGTGGACAGGCAACTGGCTTAACTGCCTGGTCCTACCTCCAAAGAATTGAGACGGGTACGTGTCAATTTTTGTTTTGCAAAGAAAGTATTGGCATGAAAATAAGCTGACAATAATATCTTGGACCTATTCAAATTATCTTTGCTTTTACATCAGGAAAACTGCTATTGGCTTGACCTATTTAACTTCAAATTTCAAGCCCTAATCAATCTAGTTTTAATGCATTGCAAACTATTTAGAATCAATTTAAAACTAATTCGAAAATTCGAATTTAGAATCAATTTAAGCAAATTTCAATCTTAGTTTGCATGCGAAGTTTAGTTTATCAGACAAAAGTTAAGTATCAAGTTTTCCTGAAACTGCAAATTTTGTGAAACATTTTTTAAAGAGATATAAATTCTTTCTGAAGAACCATAAGCAAGTCTAAAAATCGTAAACAGTCTAAAAACCGTAAAAACCATAAGCATAAGCCATAAGTCTGAAAAACCAGAAAACTCATTTTCCCTTTTTGTTAATTTTGCATGACTGAGGTACTTAACTGTGCTTTATGTAATTCTTGAGTAATTAAATTGTTTTGATGACGTAATCGTTATGTAACTCTTACGTGATTGATGCTTGCAGGTGACACTCTGACCTTGGACTGTCAATTGAATTCCTTCGTCGTGGGGTTCAAATACGACGATGTCTACTCCTGTAAGTGTATTTGCTTCAAAATTGTTTATACAAAATCAAATTGCGTTTTTTCGGTGCACGCTCCCCCCTCAAAATTAGTAAACATTGGCACCGAAAACCCCTTTGGAAAATTTTTGGAGTCCGTCGTCTAATAAAGACCCCATAGTCTAGTTGGATCAGTTTCACTGCCCCCTAACTAGACCCAAAATGTTTTCCAACTGGCTGACTGATTTGGATTGAAATTGCATAGCACGCCCTCACACATACATTGAACAGCATCCCCCTGCGTCAACTACTCAAATAGCCCCCCCCCCCTCTCCACCCACCCTTATGAAATGAACGACAAGATAAGCTATTACGAATGATACCTGTTTAAAACTCGGCATTGAACCGAAAATTCTTATTCAATAAGTCGATAAAGGAAAAACGTCAGCGCGGGGTGTTTTAAACGTACGTTTAAAACACTCCGTATTGACATTTTTTCAACAAGCTATTATTCTTGACAGGGGCGGATTTAGGGAGACGCTTCTTCCCCAGAGATTTGAACCCATCACCAACCAAAAGCCCCCCCCCCCCCCCCACCCGTGGTATTATTTTATGGCATATATGTTCGGCCGAACAGCCTTAAAATTTTTCTGAAGGTGCCTTTTGCGTCAATAATTACTAATTTTGAAGAGGACCGCACGCAGAAAAACGCATTTTTTTTCAAAGTTTTTCAAAAACGATTTTTTTAACCTGTCTTTTAAAAAAAATTGCCTGCGGCACAAAAACTTCTTTTAACATAGGGTCTTAGTAGTGTTTTGAGAACGCTCGGGAAATCAATTTGGTCGACCTAAAACAAGACCGAAATCCTTTTTGAAAATCCCCCGAGAAATATCTGGATCCACCCCTGATTCAAGAGTTTTCTGTTCAAAGCCGAATTTTAAAAAGCAACCTTTCACAATAGTTTATCTTGTATGTGTGAGAGTTTGGTTGGTGATTCACCAACTACCCCTTCCCACTAATCCCAATAACCTCTTTTCGAATTAACAAAACCTCCATGTTAATTGAGCGCTTTCCATGAGCGGATCTAGGATTTTCTCGTGGGGGGGGGGCGGATTTTCAAAAAATTTCGAAAATTTTGTCGACCTTTTTTTTAGGTCGACCGAATTGATTTTCTGAGCTTTCCTCAATCAAAATAAAGACCCCATTTGACCAATTTTGTTTTGCGCGGCAGGCAAAATTTTGAAAAAACAGGCCAAAAAAGGCGTTTTTAGGCAATTTTTGAAAAATTTTGACCAAAAATTGCGTTTTTTCTTTTTAGGCAATAGGATTTTCACGAGGGGTGAGACATTGAAAAAAACTTCAAAAATTTGTTGACCATTTTTTTAGGTCGACCAAATGATTTCCTTAGCGCTCCCAGAACACTATCAAGACCCTATTTGGACAGAAATTTTTGTGCCGCCGGTAAAAAGAGGCAGGTGAAACAATGGTTTTTGGGCACTTTTTGGAAAACTTTGACCAAAAAATTGCGTTTTTTCGGTCCCCTTCAAAATTAGTAAACATTGGCCCCGCAAACGCCTTCAGACAAATTTTAGAGCCCATCACCAAAAATGGATATCTCAAATTTATACGAAGCGGGAACCTTTTGGGTCGGCAGGTGATCGAATCCCTGAAAGAGAAAGGCGTCCGTACCGTACCCATTAGCCCTTTAATTTTTTGTGTCAAGAAAAATTGGTTTGAAAAATTTGCTTATTAGTCTAATTTGGTGCAAGAACAGCGAGCGAGAAATGTAGTTGAATGAAATTCTACTCTGATTGCAGAGTATCAGAAGTTTATCCTACTTGTTGTTTATTAACTCTTATTATTGCAGTTTTGAGTCAGCCATTACTTAAAAAAGTATGACTAAATTGAGTAAAATTGAAAAAAAAACTTTCATTTTTTAATAACTGTTGTCGGAACATTCTCTGCTACCTGCACAGCCACCGGCTAATCTTGTTCAGGGTAAGCTTGGGTTGAAAAATAGAAAATGAATTGACGTCAGAAGAGAAAATGTGGGAGCTGATAAATATTTGCCATGTTTTTTAGCTAACCCGACCCAAACAGTGACTGAAGTCCAAACATGGACTGGAGGAACCAACCTAGCTTTCGACAGCCAGGATGTAATCCAGACCCAGTACGGAGGAAACGAACCCGACTTCATCATCGACCGAGACCAAGTACAAAATATACAAAAAAAATTTTCATACAACTTATTTCCAGTAGAAGCCAGGACATTTAAATTCAAATTAGTCACATTGCCGTCAGATTAAAGATATCAAAAAGAAACCTGGACTGCAAAAACAACTGAAAAATGAGCGTGAGCATACTTCAAGAAATGTGAAAAACTCAAGATATTGAAAAGTTTAATATTCTAGCCTCTACAGTAACAGTAATTTATTTTTAAAAAAAACTGATTCTAATTGAATCATTCTAGACTAAGGCCAGGCTAAACTAAGGTTTGTCTAATAAGCTTTTACTGTTCCAAAAAAAGTAAGTGTGTTGATTTCAAGGTAGGGGTGGATCTAAGATTTTACCAACAAGCGGATTTTCAAAAAACTTTTAAAAATGCAATTGGTATTTAGACTTTAAATACAATTGTTTGGTATTTGCACAAAACGGTGCATTTAAGCTGGGAGACAGAGATAATTACAGGTTTTTTCCACTTTTGGCCACTCAATTCAAGTTTTCCATTGTACGTGTTTATATTACCTAATCGGTGAGTTAAGGATGTGAAGTATCAAGGAAAAACCTAAGCACGGTCGTTAGTTTTTTCACCATTTCAGTACATTGAAAAAGTTTTTAGGAATCGCTGAACGTAGTTCAGACTCTTATATAGGTGTTGATGATTTTTTTTGTCGTTTTTTTTCGTTTTTTTTTCTCCAGGAAATATCTTAAGACTGTTCATACTCAAATGTACTTTTTCGCGATTTGACTTGTTATTGTTCCGTTTTTTGATACGAAAGGAACGGAATATTTGTGCTCGGGGTGGGTTTTTTTTTCAGACAAATTTCGACTTTTTAACTAGCCATTTTTGACGGAATGTTTTACATCATTCGAAAGGTATTGTTGTTCTGAGCTCAAATTTGAAGATATATTTTACCTGTGATCATTTTTTTGTAAAGTTACGGGGGTTTAAAGATTGCCATTTTGGCCAATTTCAGATAATTAAGCGCGATATATCTCGCGCTATTAACGCGTAAGCGTAGAGTTACTCCGCCTTAGAAATCGTTCCAAATTGGTTGAAAGAAGCAAATGTGCCATAATTGGTTTGTTACAAGGGGCGAAATCTATCCTTTTGTACTTTGGATGGCGTGTGGGGGGATAATTTTCATAAAAATTTTCGAATTTTAGAAAAAAAAATTTTTGATTTTGTTTCATTTCATTGAATTTTTAAATGTTTTTACTGCTCCATAAACCTTAAAAGGCAGTCGGAACATTCAGGGTTTCGCCCTGATACGAGCAGTCTTGTTTATTTTCAAGTTGAGTGCTATTCTTAAGCTAAAAAGTAAGGCACACTCCACTATCACACAGCGAAAGTATAAAGGAAAGTATATATCTATTTTCTTAAGTGGAATTTACTTTTCAGACTTTCAGCGGAATCAAAAAATTACTTATTGATCCAGTTTTCTCAAATTGGTTTAATTTATACAAAAAGTCTCAGTCAAAACTTGTTGTCATTTTTCACACAGCTTTAGGGGCAACTATGAGTTTCTTTTAAATTCGACAATAACGATTATATTTTTTAAAGTAAATCGTTATTTTTTTTGTTTACTTGTGTTCATTGACTCGTTTTGTTTCTTTACTTGTGCTCATTGACTTTTCGAACTGTCTGTTGGCTATGTTTCAAAATTGAAATTCAAAAGTGGGGCAAGTGGAAAAGAGCCGATTTGATGCGCATATCGCTGAGTTTTCAAGCTTACTTAGCGTATTTTACAGTTAGTGGTTTTCTTCAAATTGTATTTTTCTGCGTTCTTCAAATTTCCTCACTTGTTGTTTTTGTAACCTGTGCTTGTAACGGGCCTCTTGGTCTTTGATTGATAAATATTTTCAGGCCTGATTATAGTAACATAATAAATTTTTTTCAGGCAGGCCAAAAGAGTATATTAGACTCGCTGGAGTTCGCAGAAAGAAAAATTTTTATTTTTTTTCTAACCAGGTGCTGCTCTTCCGAGGTTACCCTTCAGCTATCATTGTACAATCGGATGCAACTCAAATCACCCACATCGCCTTCAGGTCATAAATCAGAATATGTTGAACAATTCTTCGGTTTACATTGACAAGAATGTTTATTTAGAGCTAAAAGACAAAAAACGAGCTTTTACGTGTTCCCACTCAAGAGCCATTAATTGTATATATACACTACAATCAGGAAAATTTATCGCAGTATTTAGTTTTGAAACGTCGATTCGTTGCCGATCGCATTGTTAAATTGGCATTCAATTCGAACCATCGATAGTTTTTTCTACATTTTTTGAATCAGTGAAATAAATATAACTCGAAATCCAATCCTCGAAAGTATTTGAAATTTTAACTTTCCGATTCACAAGTGTACAAAATATAGAATATATTCTGATTTATCATCTGCGTTTTAGCTACTCATTCCAAACCGATCAGGTCATTTACGGTCCCCAGGGTACCTTCAACTCCGCAACGGCTAATACATTCTCACTTGTAAATGAACGGATATTCCAAGTGACTGGATCATTCAGCTCAGCGGGAGTATTGGCGGCAATCGGTTTTTCGAAGAGAGACGATGGCGGGGCGGAAGTTACGAGCACGTGTTACGGAACAGGAGACTGCTCCGGGTTTTCAGTGACGCAAACAACAGGCAACCAGTATGTGACTTCAATGTTCGGAGCAACGGACACAAGTGGAGTTATAAGAGCCTTGTCCTTCAGATGGGCTTCAATGTGTAAGTTTATCCACAAAGTGACCATTTTCCTCTTTCCAGAAGAATATTTGGATATATTTAAACTGGATAAGAATTTAAATCTTTTTTTTTCACAATTAATCAGTTGAATGAAAATTATCGCCTCGCGTATGTATTAAAGTAAAAAAGTAAATTGAAGTATCTTATTTTTCATAAGTGAAATTGGTGTTTTAATTTTTGTTTTTTGAAGGCTTAAATGCTAGGTGATTTTATAGAAATTGCAAACGATCAAGTAATAGCTCTGACAGATGTTCGTAAACTGCATTAGTATCGACCTTTTGAACTTTTCACGACCTTGCCATAGTTCTCGTGATAGTGTGACTTCGAAAATGTCCTATTGCGGTTTTACCAAAAGCAAAACAAACTTATTTTCTTGCACGCTTAAAATTCACACTGTAAAAATGAGAGATGGTTTAAAATGAACTGATTTGTATAAACTATTATTGAATGAGCTTAATTTCCACTTGTTTAAGTCGTGTTTTTCAACGTTTTCTTTCGGAAAGTTTTACAAAATGTGTTCAAATTCAGCCTAGTTTAGTGGTTTGACTTTTGATTTCCTTTGAATTAACTTCAAATTCATTCGACAAGTGGAAGGCAAATTGAGTAATAAAACATGTGTGTCATTCAAGGAAAGAGAACCCTCCCACAAGACATAAACATCAGTTTTACAGTAATAATTTGTTTCACGATGTCAATTTTACAGCAACAATTTGTTTCACGATGTCAATTTTACAGCAACAATTTGTTTCACGATGTATTAGATGAAGAGAAAATGCGTATGTGTTGTTAATTGAGTAATTAAAAGTGAAAAAGAGTTTTGAAAACTGCTCGGAGTTGGAGTGGGGGGGGGGGGGGGAGCGTGTTGTTGTAGAACGGTAGAAGATGAATGAAGATTACACCTTTCTTGTTTTTCTAGCGTTCCAGCAGTACACTCTGCGAGACACCAGCTGTGTGATTGACGTGTTCCCCGACTGGAACGACATCAAGGCATACACTTTCAACTACACTGCAACACCAAGTTCCTCTTGTGGATCTACACGCACAAGCGAGTCATGCTATTCAGATCAGACCTCAGTTTAAGAAATCTAGTTAATTATTTCCCCCTATGGTACTCGGCAAAAATATTGCCATCCCCATAAAAAATATTTCGACGGTTAAGCATATCAATGTGATTTTTAAACTTGTTATGAATCCCCCCTTTGGCAATAGAGGGAAAAATTAAAGAGCCCAGTTTAAAACTAATGCAATGTATAGTTAACGTCAAATTGTTGGCGTGGCGTTTTTTGGACGTTTTTTGGTCAACAAATCTGAACGAAGTCGATAAAACTAAAACTGCTGAACGGACGTCTGAAACAATATTTTACCTCATTTAATTCTGTAAAAAGCTGTACATAGAAGTTGCAAATTTTTGCTTTAAACGAGCAAGTAAACGGATTTTGGTTTTCACGTTTTTGTCGTTTTCTCTGCAGCTGTTAAAGATATTGAAATTAAAGTTTGACAAATGCTAAATTAAACTGTTTGAAAAAATTATCCGGATCAAAATTGATAATTCTTTTGAAGGCGCAAAATGGCCAGTAACTCAGATCTAATTTCAGAGGTGTTCATGCTCTGAAAACATCTTCAAAAATATTAAACAGATTTTCAATACGAGGCCAAACTGTGCATTTTGTGAATTGCAAGCGGATTCCGCAACAAGGACGCTCCCTTTGTTCTTCTTTTGTTCTTTGGTTTCCTTTGACTTTTCCGATAAAATTTTAACATGTTTAAAGACTTGTCCGCGAACATACAGGCACACATTTGTGCGCCTATCCAGTGCACAGTTTGGCCTCGTTAAGTTGAATTTTTGAGTTTAAATTGGTTTTTTGGGAAGCTTATTACCGCCATTAGTCTCTGCGCTGCGCAAAAATCACAGACAAAATCATTGAAAGAGGTAATAACGCCATTGGACTCTATACCGCGGAAAAATAACAGAAAAAAAACATTGAAAGAAGTAGCACCGCCATTAGACTCTGCGCCGCGGAAAAATCACAGTCAAAAACATTGAAAACGCTAATAGCGCGACGCCAAAAAATAACAAACTTTTACGTGTAATTTGGGGCTGATGTTCGAAATAAGCCAACAAAAGAGCTATTCAACTAATGTTTGAAAAAAAGCATCTCGAACAATGCACAGTGTTGACCCAAGCAGATATGCTGTCTAACAATTTGTCTAGTTTTCTGGCTTAAGCGCCAAAACAAAAATACCGCCTTTTTCGGCGCCACACCAATTAACTTTTTAATTCTTTTGTCTGTGATTTTTCCGCGGCATGTAGTCTAAGTGGAGATCATCAGCTTCCCAAATATCCAATTCGAGGCCAAAAATGTTTCCAGGGCAAGAACACCTCTGAAACTAGTTATGAGTTTCTGGCTATTTTGCGCCTTTAAAACAAAATTTATCAATTTTTGATCTGGTTATTCTCTTCTAAATAGTTTTATCTATTATTGTCAAATTTTCAAGTCTATATTTTTAAAAGATGCGGAGAAAACGACCAAACTTTTTAAAAAATTTCTTGTCTTTCCATGTTGAAATCAAAAATTTTGCGATTTCTGTTTCCTGTGACAAAACTTTAACGATAATATGTCGCAAAAAGTTCGGAAAGACTAACTAATTTATTAAAATCACTTGCTGATTTAAACTATCCGCACAAAATGAACAAAATCCAAAAATTCAAACGTGCTTTTCTCTGTTGGTTGAAAATGGAAACAAAATTACAAAAAAAATGTGCTTCGATTTTTAACTGGCTTATCTTAGTGCAATTTAAAAGTCGGAAATTAAGTTTCTTTCCAAAAAGGATAGTTTTGGTTTTTATAGCCAGCCAGAAATTTTGTCCAAACTATTTTGTCAAGTGATGGGGGAGTTATATCCAAATAATAGTGTTAGACAGCCCAAAAAAATTCTAAAGGTGCATATGCTTCTAAAAATTGCTCAAAACATTTAGAATTTGCTCTCAAGCAAATAATGTTAATTTTTCTTAATCAAATAGAATTTTTTTGGCTATCAATCAAAAATATATGCATTTACAAATACTTTTGGAGATTACAATCTCCTAGAACTTTGTTGGATTGTGATATTACCTGCTTATCAAATGGAAAAGTAGTTTTAGCGTAATCTTTCCTTGAATAACAAAAAACAAAGTTGTCTCTTTTTCAGTTAAATTTTAAGTTTTTCAATTATGTTAAATGTTAAATTTTTAAACAACTTTTGATCTCGCCCGTTCCTTTTATAGTCAACATAAATTGACCAAAACACGTCTGAAGCATTCAATTTTAATAGTTTTGTCCTTTGAATATTTAAAATAGCACTGTTTTTTGTTAAAAAAGAAAATCGCTTGCAAAAACTAATTGCTTAGATCAATTTTGTTTCTCAAGATTGTCTCAAACATCAAAATTGCCGGCAAAATTTTGCCAAATCGGTAAGATTGCTCTGTTGGAGTAAATAACCGTTCGAAATTTTGGCAACTCGCTGTAGCGAATGCGGTACTAATTACCTGTTAGGTCCCTTGACAAAACTAGGTTAGATACTTGGTCCCGCTTTTTTTCCAAAAATCAAGAGCCAGCACGGGATTGATAACCGGATTTGTACCCGCTAGACTAACTAGGCCGGTTACGACAGGATGATAGAGAAACAAAAATGCTTTACTGTTAGAAATAGCCACATACTGTATCTCGGTTTTTATTAGGGATCACTGCATTTTTGAGGGACCACACAAGTAAACTAGTACCACTAATGCCAAATTGTTGGCAAAAGATACTTTATCGTCAAATCTGAACAAAATTAACCAAGCTAAGTTGCTCATTTAGTCATCAGAAAAGCAATATAATCAAAAACACCGTTCATTTTGCACCAGAATTGCTCGATTTATTTTACTGTAAATTAACTAAAAGAAAAATTGTGTTTGAAGTCAATGACCCTCTCCAAAGGTCTCATATATTTTTTTTAACTTGAAACAAGTACTTTCATATCAGTTAGCAGCCAGTCTTGTGGAAAAGGCCCACAAGAAAACCTTTGAGCAAATTGAGTTTTTTACTAAAGCACGTGACCTTTCATGCAACTTATTTAGTTTCAACAGCAAAAGCAAACGCACTAAGTCTTTGTTTTGATTCTTTATTTTAAATGATTCTGGATTGCATTGAATGGACACTTACATTTTAGCCAAATTTAACGACGTCGTTTTAAGCTATGGTGTTCAAATGCAAACTTACGGTACTTGTTTAGAAGTACGGCTCTTCATTTTAATTGAGTCCCTTTCAAAAAAACTCGATTAGAACTGCGGTCTCGCTTGATGACTTGAAGTGAAGTATACTTTTGTTTTCCAAGTGTATGAAAACAAAGAGAAAGTTTGAAAAAAAGGTTTGCAAAACGATGGTTTTATAAAAACAACCATAAAAAAACTTGAAACCATGCTGAGAACTCATTACACAAAGGCTTGAGAGTATATAGACGACTTTATCGAGTTCTGATTTCATCACTTTCGTATCGTCAGGTGGCGTGCCTCATGCTGGACCGGAATGATTGAAATATATTTTGGTTTACTTTCAGCCAATCAGAATTAAGTATTCAAAAATCTCAGGGAAATCGCGAAAATCTCAAAATAAGATGATGATTGCTGGGAAGACTGTTTTTTCAAATTACAACCTTAACCCCGCGATTTCGAAATTAAACCAAAAACATATAATTATCAATCGATTAATGAATATATATATATATATATATATATATATATATTCTAATTTGGACTTCACGGGGAATACAATTTAAAAAACAGTCGTCCAAGTATGAGGAGGATAAATAATGAATACCACAAACAACAAGACTTTGGGCCAAAAATCCTCCTCCAGAACTTCTTTTCTATAAAAATTTTATCAGAAATTTTTAACACACATACTAAGTTTGAAGTAGTTATTATGTAGCATCCCTAGATACGATTGTTTTTTTTTCAATTTCTCATAAAACTCCCCTAAAATCTACCGTATGGTTGGCTCCGTTGCAATTCCGATCACCCTCAAAAATTAATCTCCGTTTTTTTTAGTTGAACCGTGTTTTACAAGACTTTTTACTATCCATTTTTCATAAAATTCCCGATAAAATCTACCATATGGTTGGCTCCGTTGCAACTCCGATCACCCTCAAAAAATAATCTCCGTTTTTTTTAGTTGAACCGTGTTTTACAAGACTTTTTACTATCCATTTTTCATAAAATTCCCGATAAAATCTACCATATGGTTGGCTCCATTTCAGTTCCGATCACTCTCAAAAATTAATCTCCGTTTTTTTTTTAGTTGAACCGTGTTTTACAAGACTTTTTACTATCCATTTTTCATAAAATTCCCGATAAAATCTACCATATGGTTGGCTCCGTTGCAATTCCGATCACCCTCAAAAATTAATCTCCGTTCTTTTTAGTTGAACCGTGTTTTACAAGACTTTTTACTATCCATTTTTCATAAAATTCCCCATAAAATCTACCATATGGTTGGCTCCATTTCAGTTCCGATCACTCTCAAAAATTAATCTCCGTTTTTTTTTTTAATTGAACCGTGTTTTATAAGACTTTTTACTATCCATTTTGAAAGTTGAACTGCAAATGAAATTGAATTGATAATTTCAAAATTATAAGCTTTTCTGATTAGTTTTCTCTGAATCAGTCTTGTTCTCACTTAATAATAGCAAAAACATGGGGGAGGGCGTAGGGATAAACGTAGGAGAGTGGGGTGGAGGGGATTTGGGCAAATGCGGATGGGAGGCAAAGTGAGGAGGAGGGGGGGGGGGGGGGGGGTTAATTTGAGTGGGTTTAGATAACGAGTAGGCTGTGACGAAAATAATCGTTTATAATGAGGTCTTTGGGTCGGCAGGGGGTCGAATCCCTGAAGGAGGGCGTCAACCCCCCCCCCCCCCCCCTCAAAAAAAACTCGCACCTGAATGACAATATAATCGATTTCGTGGTCTAAGTTTGCAACAATAATGGATTATAATGACAGCATTTTAGACAAACATATTTCCATTATAATCGATTGTTATCCATGGAACTCCGGTGCGGGAATACAAAAAAAACTTATTTTATACGAAATTTTTATTACAAAAATATGGAGAAAATTGAAAACTATGGGGAAAGTAGGACATTAAGTATCGAAATCTTTAGTTCCGTTTAAGGAAAGCCCTATAGTTTGATGGGAGAAAAGCACGATTCACTTCGTTACGCGTCATTTTGTAATTAATTGTAAAAAAATATCAATCAATTTTTTTCAGGCAGTTTAAAATTTTTTCAAGCAATTTTACGTTTGTTGATGATTCAGAACTTTTTGTTTGATTTTTCTTGGAAATGAGTTGGATGTGATTTCATTTCTAAGAGTTTTACCTTCTCATTCAGCGCAAAAGGTTATTGCAGCAGCTGTAAATTTTCTATGATAGTTTTTCTGTCTTCAGTTTATCTCGTAACAAATATTTTGATTCGACTTTCATGTGAAGTTTTAGTTAGATTTGTGTCAATCCGTTTATGTTGCAATCAAATTTACCTGGATTTAATTTAAATGTCGATCCTAGCAATAAAACACCTTTTTGATTCGCCCGTTTAACGTATCTCATTATGATTTCTGTCCTATTGATCAGTATTTCAACAAATTCGTAAACTCAAATTAAAAGTGACATTTATGTCTTAAAAACCAGTTTTATCTGCTATAGGCACAAAAATGCTCTTATGTCTTGTAATTTTTAGTTGATGATGATCAAAAACTGGTCAACTACACCAATGGAATTGGACAGGGCGATGGATCTGGCTCGACGGCCGGCGAGGTCGTTACCGGCAACGGGGTCAGCATAGTGCGCCAGAGCAGTTCGGGTTTCTCTCTGGTGTGCTGCTACCATACAAGAGGCAACGTCACTTCTCTGTTTGATACTGAAGCGGAGGATTCTCAATCTGCTATGGGCGTGAACAGAGTACCCTATAAACTGTCCTTCTACACTAATGCAGCGTTCACAACTGCCTTTGGGTAAACCATAATTAAAATATACTTATAATAATAATAACTTTTTTCTAGCCAAAACTTATAAAATGCTTTCTATGAAATAGTACATTTAAATGCTTGGGAGAAAACCAAAAAAGCATCATAGCTTGTCGGGTGGGATCTCAACTGGATAAATTGTATAAAATGGGATCATCTTAATACCCCCATCCACATGAACGGACAAAGTTCAGATCCTTTTGATCCACCCGATGGTTTTAAATAGCGTTGCGCTTAGGGCTATTTTTCCTTTCCCCCACCTACGAGATTTTACAAATAAAGATTTTGTTCAGATTGTTCGATTGTCATGAAAATTGACATGCGGACTGATTAGGTAAAACCATTCGTTAAACCCTAAAACCATTCGTTACACCCTAAAAATGATACTCGTGTGAGGTGAGGGGCGGGGCTGTAAAATCAATAACCAGAAAACCAGAGTGGTATGGGCAACTCTTAAAAATGAGTTTAAAAAACTCGATTCTGATTGGCTGAAAATTCGAGCCAAACCAACATCTTCTTATCTTCTCCTCTATTTGGCATTCGGGGGAGAGAGAGGGTGATGTTCACTTGGACTTGAGCCTGAAAGAGTTTTAAACAAATAAGATGAGACGTTATAACTATTCGGGAATTTAGTTTTTTGTTTCCATTTTAACTGCGGTTATAATTTTCGTCTTAATTCCCGGAGAAAATAATACTGAATGCACCAGCCAACGTTCAGAGAAACGTACTTTTAATTGCTTTTCCGACTCAAATTATCTATTTTTAAACGCTAATGGATCTTTTGTGCAGAGCGGACAGTGTCGTGAACGTTCTGCTGGACGCCCCGTTCTACTTCGGGGTCACTTTTGAGGACGACAACCCGGCCATCCTGGGGGGCATGACCATCTATGCACCAGAGTGCTGGGCAACTCAGACCTCCAGCTCAGACAAGATCGATGGGTCATACTTCACTCTGGAACAGAATGGGTAAGTGTCAATCCGGGGACGGGGGGGGGGGGGGGGGTTGATAGTCTCATGAAAGAAGGCCAAATGTGCAAAAATTCTAAACCAACCAGAGCCCTTTAATTTGACCAAAGTGATTTTACCGATTTTATGTTTTTTTTTCCGATATAGAGTTTCTAAATGGTGAGTTCTGATTGGCTTACTTTTTTGGGCATTTATTAGAGCATCTCCCCTATCAATCTCAATCAAAGTTTGGGGGTTGGGCTGTGGCCATTTTTTATTTCTGTGTTTAGTAATAGATCATATGGGATCATTTCTAATGACGTAATGAGATCATGCCGAAAGAGATCTGTCTATTCTTAATGAGGCGTTACTCTCTTTTATTTGGCCCTGTGAAATTCTGTTACCTGCTGAGCTTAGAAAAAATTGCAGGTGGCTAAAAAATAACACATCACCTTATTTGGTCTAGAAATTTCTCGAATTTGTCAAAGAAACAAAACAAAATATTTAACAGTTTTGCCAAAGAACTACCAAGTTGTGGAATGACACATCATTACGAGGCAAACAATATATTTTGTGAATACTATCAGTTTTTTGCTAAAAACCGATTTTGAGTGGAACCAGCAAAAAGTTGTATCGCTCCAAATCTCTCCAAAAGCAGCCAAATTTATCGAATCTGGACCAAACATTATGGAATCCAGAACAGTAGCGAAAACCATAAACAAACAAAACTGCTCGTATCAGGGTGAAGCCCTGAATATCAGAGACGCATGTTCGATTCGTATTGTCACTGCTTGGCTAATTAGTTATCAGTTTATTCAATAGGTTGCTTTATGCTATCACTGTTGTTTTCGTTTTCAGATGTCCGACTGACTTTGACACTGGAGCTTTCGAGCGATACGAGACTGTTCGGAGTGACAGTGGCAACACTATAGACCCCCTGTCGTACCGTGCATTCGCGTGGGAGTCGAACGCGGCTGGCGTTGTGTACATACACTGTACTGTGAAGGGGTGCATCAGCGACAACGCCAACGAATGCATCGCATCTACAAGTCAGTTCGGCTATTTTACCAATCTTCCCCCTTACACTCACTGCCTCGGACACCCCCCCTCCCCCTTATTTATCCACCCCCCTTCTGCATACCTGCATTTAAAATTTTACTAAGAAAGTGTTGGCAGTAGAATTTTTTGATATGAATAAATCATACACAAAAAGTCACAAAATACAAATGCGGATCAATTGAGAAATCTTCTCCTCAGTTGCGCGAGTTTTTGTATCCACTCAAGTTATTTATGCCGAGAAACACCCACTTTTCCTTGGCACAAATAACTTCAGGGGATCCAAAAACTCGCGCGAATGAGGGGGAGATTTCTCAATTGTACCGCTTTTAGTTTTTTTTCTTCAGAATCCGAATTAAAGGATCTGACTTTTTGGCTGTTCAGCTAGACCAGCTTTAGAAACATTGGTTTGAAAATTGGTTCTATTGCTAAATGATCCACCTTAAATAAGTAAGTCCTAGAAGTTTTAATGGACCTCCCTTTCAAAACCGGAACCCTTGTTCTTAACCCTGAATGTTGCGACTGCCTCTTAAGGTCTTTAGGGTAGTGTTCGCTTTAAGCAATGATGAAATTTTGAAGGAAAAAAAAAGAAAAAAAAATCGTTTCAATTTTATTTTAAAACCACTGAAAACTAAATTTGAGAGGGGAACAAGCGCAAAAGCAAGGTATCGGTTTTGTTAAAAATCTCCAACAAGAGCAGTACGTCTTCATTTTTGGCCTGTTTTTTTCTCGAAAGTTAGCGAGTAGCCCAGAAACTTTTGAAATCGTTTTGTATCAATGTAGTTTTTTCGAGAGCTCAGAAAATTGATTTGTCAGCATAAAAAAAAACGAATTTTAAAAGAATCCGCCTCCCTCAAAAAATCCTAGATTATTCCTTGCTCTTCAACAATTTCAACCCAAACAATACTTGCAGCTCATATTATACACATCGTTTACACTCAATCACTTGCTTTGAATAACGAGTTCTTTTCAAAAGAAAGCTTTGATGGTTAAAATACAAATAATACTCAAAACTCACCTGAAGCTTTTGTATACGCATCAAGAATAGCGACGCCGCTGAATTAGTCAATACTAGGGATCCGGGGTCAAAAAAAATGTCATATCAGGCGCGGATCTAGGAGTTTCTCGAGGGTGGGATTTACAAAAATAAATTGAAAATTTTGTCGACCTTTTTTTTAGGTCGACCAAATTGATTTTCTGGGCTCTCCCAAAGCACTACAAAGACCTCAATTTGACCAAATTTTCTGCTCCGCAGGCAAAGTTTTGAAAAGAAAGGCCAAAAAAGGCGCTTTTTAGGCAATTTTTGGAAAATTTTGACAAAAAATCGGGTTTTTTCGGCGCGCGCTCCCGCCTTAAAATTAGTATATATTGGCGCCCAAGGCGCCTTTAGAAAAAATTTAAGGTCAGTCAGCTAAAAAGTGATGTCTCAAAATAGTATAAAGGGGAGACCCTTTGGGTCAGAAGGGGTTCCAATACTGGGGTCCCGCTACTGTGTCATATCAAATATTGGAAATACTCAAAATTTACTCAAAGTTTTGCTTGTTTGGTCCTCCCAAAAAATTTATGATCTTTTTTTTTTTAATTCTACAAATGAGCCCATAGGCCTAAATACATTCCAGGCCTGCATTCCTGTCAGAATTTTTTAGAAACAGTTTGAACAAATCTGAACAATGTACGTTTTTTTTTCTTCTTTTTTTCAGCGAATAACTCGTGCAGCAGTACGGGAAGGGCCAGGCGTGCGGTGGATAGCGGAGTCACTCTTCCCGAGATGACCATCACTTCACAGCCCCTGTTTGTAGCCAGACCCAAACGACACATCACCCTCGGTATGTTTCTACGATGACTCATTCACTACCCCCCCCCCCCCCCGCTCTTCCCTGCATATGATACCCATCAGCGAATTTCCAACTTTATAAGGGCGAATTTGATGACTATTCAAAATTCTGCGAAATTTATAACCCATTTGTTTTTAACCTAGCTCCTTCAACTCTTCTCAGTTCCATACCCCCCCCCCCCCCCCCCCCCACCCGAAAAAAATTCAATTTTCCACTTTCTTAGTTGATCTGTGTTCTTATGGCTGAATGCGTGATGTTACGATAAAAGATATGAAGTAGTAATGCGTGTTGCATATAATGACCACCTAAGAACATTTTTAAAAACTGAAATTCAAATGCGGGACTGGGAGCTAACAAAACAAAAAACTGACGACAATTTGCCTCTAAATATTTGATGACTGACGTCACATCTTAAGTTTTTAAAAATATTTAATAAAGTTCTCAATTTCGAAGAATAATGAAAACACGTACCTGTTTAAGAATGCGATAGTTGCTTTGACTGGGTGTGCACTCAGGCGAAAACAAACAAACTAGACTTACTTTTCAAATAAGTTCGAAAATCAGTTGATTTGTTGTGCGAATAGAAATTTAACTATCGGCTACCGGTGTTAAGTTTACATGAAAAACAAGACTGCTCGTATCCGGGCGAGGTCCTGATTGTTTCGACTGCCTTTTAAGATCTATGGAGCGGTAATAACCTGAAAATTAAAAAGTTATAAAATGTTTTTTTTTTTAATTTATTTTTTTTTTGTAAAAATCAGTTCCCACTACGTCATATAAAGTACAAAGGGATAGATTTTGCTCCTAGTAGCAATCAATTATGGCAAATAAGCTTCGTTCAACCAATTTGGAACGACTTCTAAGACGGATTAAATCTCCGCTTACGCGTTGTTTGTCCCAAATTGGCCAAAATGGCAATCTTTAAACCCCCATAATTTTACAAAAAATTATCACAGGTGAAGTATATTTTCAAGTTCAAGCTCAGGACAACAATACGTTTTGAATGATATAAAAACTTCCGTCAAAAATGGCAAGTTAAAAAGTCGAAATTTGTCTGATGAAAAAACCACCCTAGCACAAATGTTCCGCCCGCACTGAATTTCCATAAATAGTAATCGATTATATTGTCGTTTCATAGTCAGCATTTATAAAACTACAAAATTGAATTATACTCTTAGTCTTTTTTATATCAAGATAATCCATAGTAATTGATTATAATTCATTAAAAATAGATTATAATCATAATATTTTCTTAATCAATATAAATCAATATAAAAAAGTATAATCGATTTTAATGTATTTTTTTAGAATTATCTATTTCATGAAATTTGCATTTTTTCAAAATTCTTATTTCCTGTTTCGTACAATTGCTACGTATTATGTTTCATAAATTCTACTTTACGTACACTCCATCACTTCTTTTAACAACTTTCCCAGTTCATCCTTCTCGAGTTTTCCCACCCCCACCATCACAGTTTATCCCTCCCCTAGCCCATTTTACCTCTCCTCAGTTTACCATGCCCATCTATCTTTCTTAACTCCCCCTCCTTCTTAACTAAACCGGGGTAAAAACCGATGTGTGGAACAAAAAACTTGGGTGAAGGGGTTGAACTGGAGAGTGGAGCAAATACGTGTAGTTTAAACCGAGTAACCCCTTCCTCCGTCCAGGTTCAATGAGAAACAAACTGGGGGGAGGGGGTAGACTGAATTTTTTGGGGGGAGGGTTGGGCTTTGCTGTAAACTTTAGTAAACAAGGGGGTGGGCGTAAGGATAAACGTAGGGGACTGGTTTAATTGCAGGTGTAAGAGGGAAGGGGCAAATCAGGATGGGAGGCAACGTGAAGGGGGGGGGGGGGGGTTAGTTTGAGTAGGTTTAGGTTGCGAGTAGGCCGTGAGCAACGCAGAAACTTTGCGAGTTTTGCAAATAATTTTGTTTGAAAAATGTAAAGTTTATAAACCGTTATAATCAATTGTAATGGATTTCAAATGAATTATAATCCGCCGTTATAAAGGATTTTAATGGATTGTGTTTTATGAAAACAATCGATTATAATGACCTTTTAATCAATTTCGTGGTCTAAATTTGCAATATTAATGGATTATAATGATCACCTTTGTATACGAAAATTTTCAATAAGAATCGATAATTATCCATGGAAACCCGGTGCGGGCGTTACTTTCATTAAGAAACTCGGCACTATAAATGTTAAAAATGTGAAACAACATCGGTCGCCATTGTTAAATACTCGATGTTCCTTGCAAATTTTTAGCGACGAAACAACAAAAAAAACGGAGCAAAAACTAAATTTTACCGGGACGCGGTCGAGCTTTTATCAGCTCAGTAGACAAATATACTACCACTGAGCCACGAAATTTTAGTTTCGACCAAATTATAGGCTTTATTGAATCACTCTAGTATTTGAAATTTACTAGAATGAGTTTAGCTTTAAGAGTCTTAGCCCTGACTTTGTCCTTTTCCAATCAAAGCTGCTCAAAATTGTTAACAAGGCTTTTTGCATGAAAGAAGTGTTGCAAATTTTTCTTCATCTGAGCACGCTGATACATTTCAATGCATTTTTAACATGAAGAGTTATTTTAGTTTAAAAATTAAATTTCGAAAAAAAAAAACAAAGGGAGGAAAATAGGAAATTAGCCCTGATTTTGGATCTTGTTAACTATTTCCACCCCTTTTGGATCTTGTTAACTATCTCCCCCCTATACATGTATTACTTTTGTTAACCATTTGTGTATTAAATGTGCATTTCAAAAATGTCAACAGTTAGGTGGGTTTTCTTTTTCGCCCCTTCGTATTTGTATTATTCACTATTTATACAATACCCACGTAAAAATTTTTTAACTATCAATGTTTTCTGAAAATTGTTTTAAGCTATTGAAAATGTGGCCGCCAAAGTTGATTTTTTAGAATCGAAATAGGAGGGAAATAGTTAACAAGATCCCTGATTTTTTACGAATTGTGCTGAAATATCCATGAATTTTGGCAAGTTTACCTGTGCAAAAATATTTAAATTATACATGAACCAACGCTGGAAAATAGTGATCACTGGGATACCATATAAAAAGCGATAATTAACAATGGGACTTCAACCCTGTTAATTAAATTTCGGCTGATAAAAATTGCTTTTTTGAGTTATTTTGCTAATTGACACACGTGCTAATAGGCCGGTCCACGAACATTTTCAAAAAAATTTTACCATTTTGATTGTTTAATTTTTCGGGTTTTTTCTTAAATATTTTGTTTTTTATTTCAGAATCTCAGCGTGAGTCATTCCTTGGAGCTCATGCTTCTCAGCTTGCTATCAGTTTCGTCGGCGGCATGATGCTTCTGCTAGTGAAGACAGGCTTCTCATGGGCGAAGCAGAGAAGAGGGCAGCGAAATAACCACATCCAATAAACCAGCAGGAGATCACTCGGCAGCACAATGAAGCCGATTTTTTTTTAATTTGCAGGAAGCTATATACCCAGAGCCTATACTTTATTTTTCACGTGGCAGCTCTCTTTCTAAATTGTTTTATAAGGCCTAAAGATCCTATTTTTTTGTTTTGATGAAAATTTTTTTTCTCTCATGGGTCAAAAAATAATTGGAGTTCGAATGTTAGATCATGCAGAAAGCTCGTCACTAACATTTTTTACGAAACAATTATTTCTGAATATTATTTTGTAGCTATTGTAAATGTGCTTATACTGCTGAAATACTATTTTATATTGAAAGAGAACCAAATTAGTTTGTAAATAAACTTCAATTCAAGGAATATAAAACTTCAGAAATTTTGTGCGGTCAAGCAAACTGAGAAAAAGACTAGAATAAAAGTTTTGTATCAGTAGCACATAACTTGTCAAGACAATATTTGTTGCAAAAAATTAGGTTGAGAATTTAGTTTTTAACGCAGCATAAAATTCATAATATACATAATCAGCGATACATTTACGTAGTTAATGAAATGCAAAATTTGCCGTATTTAGGCAAAAATAGCATTCTGAAAAAGACCAACAACATAAACTGAAGAATCATACAAATTCACGTTAAATTAGCTTTTCAAGGCTGTAGAATAATATTTTTATCTTCCAAACAATTTCTTGGCACTGTATATAATGTCAGAATTCTGCAACAATCTTGCAGATTTTTGCGCAAGACTTGCAGTTCGAATTGTGAAAACAGATCTTCCAAGCTTAATCCGAAACCATCAATCCTTCAGAAGAATTTTGCAATTTTTTCATTCCAATTCTTAAACAGAACTCATTGAAAAAGAACAACTTTAACTAAAAACACCCGAAAAAATTAATGTAGCATTTTTGCGTAAGACATGTATTCACAATGTTATCTACACTCTCAAAAAATCTGTAAAAATTTTGCATTTTGATGGCAAATTGACTTTAGAAAAACCAGCAATTTCAAGGCTTTTTTTGCATTCGAAAATCAAATTTTAAGTCTTGCGACGGGTAATTCGAGACAGCAAGAGTTTATCTGACATAATTGATCAGAAAACTTCAAGTCTTTTTGTTTTCAAGGCATCAACAATTGCAGGTCTAAAGTTGCGAGCTAATTTTCGATGGAATTTTTTATATTGTTCGAAAAGTATTGTTGTCCTAAATAATTAAATATTTAAAAAAAAGTTTTTCCCCCTTCACCTATGATAACTTTCCGTAAACTTGATGGGGGTTTATAGATTGCCATTTTAGCCAATTTGGGACAATAAACGCGCAATATATTTCGCGCTATTAACTTGTAAGCGGATATTTAATCCATCTTAGAAATTGTTCCAAATTGGTTGAAGCAGGCTATTAGCCTTAATTGATACACTAGTGGACAAAATTCAACGCAAATTTAAATTTTTATTTTTAAAATACCTAATTTTCAGGAACTGTTTGGGCAATATTCAATTTGAATTTTAACAAAAATTCTATAGCGACTGACAGCAAATTATCTGAACTATTTTCTCTGAAAGTCTCAATCTTCATTTTGAAGCACTTACCAGTTTCTCCTGGTCTGAAAATCCCAGCTTTGAGAATGATGAAAACTGGCATTTTCAGACGCGCAAAAAACTGGAAAGTACTTCAAACTAAAAATTGAGATTTTCAGAGAGGGTAGTTCAGATCATTTACTGTTGATCGCGGTAAATTTTTTGTTAAAATTCAAAGTAAGTGTTGTCCAAAATGATCCTCGAAGTTTGGCTTTTAGTGATTAAAAGCCTTAATTTGCGTTTAATTTCGTCCACTAGTGTAGAAGCAAAATCTAATTCATAGGAGCGAAATCTATTCATAGTTCTTTTGAGCGAAATTTATCACTTTGTTTTTTTATCGCATCTGGGGGATCATTTTCACAAAAACTATTAGAAGAGAAAAAAATGTTTTCTTTTTTTTTGCATTTAATTTTAACATGTTATTACTGCTCGATAGATCTTAAAAGGCAGCCGGAACATTCAGGCCTTGGCCTTGATACGAGTAGTTTTTTTATTCTGTATAAACTCTTACGGTCGCCTTAGCGGTTGAGTTAACTTTCGAATTCTTGACATGCTGATGTAAAATTCTAATTTGATCGATAAAATTCAGATATAATGAGCAGTGTTTTTTTGAAGCGTAAACATGGCTGAAAGTTCATTAAGAATGTCAAAAATTTGCTTTTTTGAAACCCAAAAAACGGCCAAACTAGCAAGCATTACATTGTTGATCACGTGTAATTGTTTGGAATTATCTCAGCTCCATATGTGCACAAAATTGGAGAATTAGTTGCAAAGGCTAACGGAGATACAAAGAGTTAAAGTGGTGGCCACATTAAAAAAAACACATGGTATATCATAAAAAACCAAATTTACATAATCAGCGATACAATTATCTGCTTGAAGAATGCAAATTTTTCCGCATTCTTGCAAAATATACATTCTAAAAAATCAACTCAAAAAATTAAAATGTAGATTCAATCAAACTCACGCTGAGCAAATTTTTCTGGACTGCAGAATAACGTTTTTTTTTCTAGCTTCAAGACGATTCTTCGAGATTATATTTTTTTGCCAGAATCCTGCCAGTATCTAGCATAATTCTAGCATGGCTTGCATTGCAAGTACTCAAGGCAAGTTTTTCAACAAACTAGATGAAAACGAAAACAAACAATCAGTAAAATACGTCTTTCAAAAATAGACAAAATTTGTTTATCGTGCCTCAATGGTTTAGTCATTTAAAACATGTGCAGAGTGACTACATGGTTAACAGAAAACTTTATAAAATTCCATGCCAAAAACTACGATTCCATGCGTCTATTCAATAACAAAAAAAATCTAATGTTTTGAATTTAATGAAGTTTCAAAATTTGGCTGTGGTCTGTTAATTACTCGGCTTTTAGATGTCTTATACTCAAATTGCAGAAGTCTTGTAGCAACCTATTCAAAAAATAACTTGGTTGATATAGGACCACATGTTTTGGATTCTAAGGGTTGAAGGGGAGCAAAACTATATTTAACGTGTAACTAAAACTGAAGTACAAACACAGTTTATCAAGTTTTTCAATTCTTTGGAGATCTAAGTGATGTCGTCTATTTTATTATCTTTAACTGTTTCCTGTAGTTTTCTTAAAAGTTTTTTTAACGTTTCTAGCCTCTGATTTGCCCTCAAAGTTATGATTAATCTGTTCTATCAGTTCGTCGTTTTCTATAATGGCAGTTTCGCAGCAACTAGTTGTTCAACTTTTTGAACATTTATAAAATTCAGCAATGCAATGCAAATGTTTGAAATTCAGCTGGAAACTTTTTTGGCCCAAAATTAAAAAAAGTTTGCTGATTCTAATTGAGATTAAGCTTAGATATACTGAACCCTCTTTTGTGTTTTGAAGGTGTGAAGTTTGAATGCAGCATAAATTACGAACAAGACTGCAGGTATCAGGGCAAACAGTTCTAAACTAGAATTTATAATTGGTTATAAATATAATTCTCTAATTCTATAAAATATTCCTAACTAACCAATGGTAATCCATATCTATTATTTACAATTATTTGTAAGTGCTGAAACTATTTGCTGTTTCAGCACCAGAACTTTTAAATAAAATTTAGAATACAATTGTTCTCCTCCTGAAAACTAACTTGCATAAACCAGTAAACAGTAGATCTATTGAGACTAGGAGATATAAAAATAAGAATAAGATCGGTAGTAGACTAAGAAGTTGCACGAATCTATCCGGCCGAAAATAAGATAGCGTGACGAGCAGACGGTGTATTTTATCTGAAATTACTCATTGAATATAAGCAAGTGGGGCTGCTAGGAAGTAGCACATTCAAATCTAAGCAGGAGCTTTATTTGAGCATATCAGCTAACCGAAACCCTAATTGATAATTCAATTTAGATAATTCAAAGTTCGTCAAAAATTACTTTTCGATAGTTCGATTTGCTTGAATTTTTACAGAACAACCTTGACAAGTAACACAAGGCAGCATGGTACAAAAAGGTTGGAAAATTAGTCACTGAAACAGCGGGAATAGCAAAAAACCTAATTTTTGTTTAACGAACCTTTAAAAAAGTATTAATCCAAACATCTTTCAGCGGAAAAATCCCAAGAGTCAATAAATTGTAATTATTGGGAGTCGACTAAACTAAAAAATTTCGCCAATTCCGATTTGCACTGGTAAAAACTGCCATGGAAAACGTTCACTATGTGCAAAAAAAAGCAGATTAATCATGATCAAAAAGCCAAAAAATATTCACTTGCAATCAGGAATTTTTTCCATAACAACAAGACTCATTTCATCAAAGCAATGTTTGTAAAAATTAATTTTGAAGTTTTGCTGATGCCATTTTTTTTGTTTAGTTTCGATAGAAAAACTCCCCCTTTTTTGAAACTACGAAAAACACTTTTAAAAAAAAAAACAAGAATTTTTTTTGTAAGAACAGGACAATTGTTTTCCTGGAAACAAGGAAACAAGAAAGAATTTTTAATGGAAGTAAGAACAAAACATATTTTCAAAAAAGTCATTCAATTTCTTCATGAAAAACGTGAACACACTCAATAAAAGCATGAAAACGTCATTAAAACATGATAAAAGGCAGAATGAAAATATTTTCATTAAAACAAGCAATCTATGAAAAAAGCATGAATGCTTTCTCCATTGAAACAGGAAAAAATTACGATGAAAACAAGAACGAAAACTTTTCTTAGAAGCTCAAAACATACAATTTTACGCTGAACAAATATTGGAACCAGTAAAAACATTTTCGCGGAAAAACTAACAAAAAAATTTATGAAAGCCAGAAAACACAATAAGACACGACTTAAATTTCATGAAAAAAGTGAACTATTCACTTATAATCTTGAAGACAAAAGAAACAATATTAGAAAAACAGGTATTGCAAAATTTTGATTTTTTGTCAAAGTTTTAACAATTCTGCTCAAATCTTTTGCTAAGGCTTTTTTATGATTTGACTATTGTGCTCCGAGAAACAAAGTCGTAGACTAAAAAAAGAGAACGTCAGAACAATCCAATAAGCCAGAAGAGAAGCCAGAAAACACAATAAGACACGACTTAAACTTCATGAAAAAAGTGAACTATTCACTCATAATCTTGAAGACAAAAGAAACAATATTAGAAAAACAGGTATTGCAAAATTTTGATTTTTTGTCAAAGTTTTAACAATTCTGCTCAAATCTTTTGCTAAAGATTTTTATGATTTGACTATTGTGCTCCGAGAAACAAATCCGTAGACTAAAAAAGAGAACGTCAGAACAATCCACAATTTTCATCCAAACATTTTCACCTCGATTC